AATATATTTCATCTCGAAGCGAATAATATTGGTGACATATCATTAAAAGCTCATAAATGCAATCAGTGAAAGTTTGGCCACGTTTTAAATTCTCATCACCCATATAACGCATAATGCCTAAAAAAGAAAATAAAACAAAAAGCTAAACTAGCTTTAATTTTTATTTCTACCATATTTAAATAGATAAATATATCTATTGTATTTACAACAATTTATGTACTGTAATTTATCGTAGTCCATTATTTTTGCACATATACTGTAATTTATCGTATTCCATCAGCTAAATAAAATCTATCATTTTATGCAAGCGTAAAAAGAAAATAAAGCTACTACAATAATAATATTACTCTAATTTCTCATTTTTTATCAACTATAATCAATTGAAATTACTTAAATATTTTTCAATGTATATTTTAATTTCTGCTAAATAACTAAATACAACTTCAATCTAATAGTCCTAATTAATGAATATAATTAATAGAATAGTTAACATCAAAAACAATTTCAATTATTTAGTAGAAAAAGAAAAAAAATGTAAATAATTAAATTAATACTAACATATAAATGCTTCCTGCGCTAATTTATCCTCTTCATTGCTGTCTAATCGTAAAAGTGAATGATTAATTGGTTTATTTGTATGTTTTATCTTTTCAGCGATTTCTTTCCATGTCCATTTCTTTCCTTTAAGGTAAACAATATTATAAAATAAATGATTAACTGTCAAATACTTTTTGTTTTACATTACAATTTGTTTATTTAATTACTAAACAAAATCATAGTGTTTATTAAATAATATTGTTTTTATTTTCTATTATTGATATAATTAATTAATTACTTACTTTTTCGCTGCGTACTATCAGAATTGAAATTTATATTATTGATGATACCAGCTGAGATACCTTTGGGTCGTCGAAAATAGAGTATTGCAAATTGCATCATTGTATACTTGTTATCAGGATCTGATGGATCAAATAAGAAATTTCCAACATTATCCTATAAATTGAATTTATGCAATTGAAAATATAATATTTCAAGAATTTCAACTTTATCCAACTAATTTCAGTAAAAGAAGATAATTTCAATTTCTTATCAGTATATATTAATTAAATAAAACAAAAATCCATTATCAATATCTTAAACATTTAATTTTGAGTAAAAATTACCAGGATTACTGATAAGAAGTTACTGATAAAATTACTCAATTAAATCATTTTCTTTTTCAATTTCATAGCAAAATATGATAACCTGTGATACTTTAACCTTTATCATAAATGATAAATAATTGAGAAAAACGAGTACATCTTGACTGTGTTTTTGAATTATCCATATTTATTCAGATTGCTGATTATTAGCGAATGATAGTTAAGCTTAATAATTTTAATAAGTAAGATTAATTTAGCAATTTCTGAACTTTCTTGTTCTTCATTTCATTTTCAAATGGATTTAATCGTTATCATTTGTTTATTACCTTTTTTTCTTGTTGTTGCATAAAAACATAAATTTATGAGTGTAATTGTTTATGAATAGTTCAACATTTAATTCTAACATTATTTTGTAACGAATTACTGTTTAAAATTATTTCCAGTATGATACTGTTACCTAAAATATAATAATGTATTTTCATTTCAGATTTCTTTTCTTCCTTACTTTCTTTTCTCTTCTATTTTTTATTACCAATACTTAATTTATAAAAAGAACTAAATTATAATTATTTAATTTCATTATTAAAATGTATCATATAAAGCTTGTAAAGAATCATTCAATCGATACCAAATTTACATCTGTAAATTAAATAAGCTTACAATAATTCATTTAATAAATAATAGAAAAGAACCATTAATGACAATACACATTACATACCAAATTGAATTTATTGTTGTCTCGTTTATGTTATTCTCCTACAAATTGTTTATTGTTTCTCAGTTATTGTTCGCTGTTTATTGTTTCTCAGTTATTGTTCGCTGTTTATTGTTTCTCAGTTATTGTTAGCTGTTTATTGTTTTTCAGTTATTGTTCGTTTATTGTTGTTTACTGCTTCCCAGTTATTGTTCATGTTTATCACTGTTTATTGCTCATTTACTGTTTATTAATTCATTGTTTATTTCTCATTTATTATTCTCTCTACCATTTATCACTTGTTTTTTCTTATTCATAATTCATTTCGATATACTCTAATAAATTATTAACTATAATTCAATTTATGTTTCTATGATAAATATAAATGTATTCCATTCCATATGCAATTCATTGTTACCATTATACACTTATAATGCTTTATTATTGTGCGTATTAAATTATTTAAATTCATTTTTATTACATTTATTATTTATTTATTAAAATTTCATATTGTTTCAAAACAAAAATAATTTATTGAAATAGAATGTAAAATAATGAAAGCACTTCTTGTCAACTGTCAACTGCCAACTGTCAACATAATACCTAATAAGAGGTAATAAAAATAAAAGAAAATTTCCAGAAATACAATAAAAATAGAAAAAAAAAATATTTTATTAATTTAGCAAATTTTGAAATTAATTTTAAATCTTTCAATTTTTTTATAAAAATTTTTCTTTTTTTCTCTTGATCTTTCCTTCCCATTATATTTTTACATTTCTTAACTATTATTTATAATCTACTAGTAATTATTTGTTAAAACAGCATTAATCAAAAATTTTTTCAACATTATTTTTACATCAGAAAATTAACAAAAGAAAATACCTTTCATTATTGATCGAAATTTTTTAATTTAATATCATAAAATTGATCAAGCTTTATTTTGGACGAAATATTTGATAATTGAGAAGTGAAATTTTGATTTACAAAATTTGATTAACTTATGACACAACTGTTGTTTGATAGCATAATATTGGAATGCATATTTTACGATGTTTTAGTGATAAGCGATAAAAAAAATTCTCTATTACTGTTAAACTGATAAGAAAGATGTGCTATTTAAAATTACGTAAAATCATATTAAACAAAATGATTCAGCACGGATAGGCATCGTAAGTTTCATTTTAGAAAAACAGGTCAATAGTCAATCTTAAATACCTATCCAACGCACAGTTTTCATTATCAGCGCAAAGCAAAATGTAGTAATACTGAAATGTACATTTCATAAAATATTTTCTTAGACTAGACGACACAAATTTTTTTCTTCTTCAAAAATTTTTCAAAGGGAAAAAATAGAAAAAGATTGATCATGATGGAGAAAAATAATGGTAGTACCAGCCGCTACAGTTACGAAAAAAAATGTCAAATTAAATCGGCAATTTGAAATGTTAACAAAATGAAGAAAGCATAGGAAATATTCGAAACTTTTATTTGTAACCACAATATTTTAATGTTTTCTTCTTTTGTTTCATGCTAATTGATATAATTATATTTATTAAAAGTATAGTTAAATTTAAATTAAATGTCTTATTGAATTTTTTATTAACAAAACACTTTTGTAATTAATTCATTAAATTTCTGGAAATAATTAACAAATAAATTTTTAGCTCATTTTTTTTAAAAAATTTATTTCATTGCAACAAAAAATTTTTTATAATAAAATAATTGTAAGAAAAACAAAAGATAAAAATTTTCATTTCTTTTTTCATTTTTTAAACTATATGTTATAAAGTAAATAAACTACTATATTTATAACAAATAATATATTACATTGATAATCGCTTCTCTTTCATCATTTTATGAAGTGATAAATTAAGAAAAAAAATTTTGGAAGTTGATAATTTGATAATAAATGATTATTGTATGACTAGTTTTTGATGAATTTTTCCTCTCTTCTCTTTTCTTCTCTTCTTTTCCTCTCTCTCTCTCTCTCTTTTTCAAATTACAATTTATTGTGCTGATAAAAGCGAACGAATGAATGATAAAAGTAGGAGCAATTATATTTGATAAAAAGAATAATTATCATTTAGAACAACAATTAAAATTTATAAAAAATGTGCTTACATGAAAAAAAGACAAAAAAACTAAAATTAATTAAAATAATAAAATTTAGGATAACTTTAGCAACAGAGTAAAACAATAGAATACTTTACAGTTTAATAAAAATAAACAAAATAGTAAAAATTATTTCCAACCATGCAAATAGATAATTTGTTCAAGTATTGAAATAGAGATTACGATTATGATGATGATAATGATGATGATGATGGTGATGATAATGATAATAAGGAATGGAACAGAAGACCCGGTATTGCTAAATGTAAACTATTTATCGTTGTAGTAAATTGTTTTTTCTTCATTCAGTTATCAAAATAATAATGATAATAATAATTATTATCAATTAAAAGTTACGTTCTTTTAAACTATAATCATAATTTGAGAAAATTGAGCAAAAGTATAAATTGGATATACCTTAGGGTATTTTTAGCAACAGAATAAAACTTACAATTTAATAAAAATAAATGAAATGATAAAATTTATTTGCAACCGTACAAAAATATATAATTTCCAAATGGAAAAAAAAGTAAGGTAAACAAATTATACCTTCAATTTGATATCTACAATTATAGATTAATCCAATGATAAAGAAATTAGCGTGTAGCACCGCGGTACCATGATAGTAAAAATAAATGGCATCAAAATTAATAAACAAAGAAAACGCTGTAGTATAGGGTAAGTTAGCTAAAGTAAATGGAATAGAATTGTAAACGAAAATTTTCATACATCATTGACGATAATGAAGATGATGATAGGGAATGGAAAAGAAAACCTGGATATCGTTAAATGTAAACTATTCAATCTTGTACTATAACATATATTTATTTTAGTTAACTGGTAAAGAAATGATATACTACATTTTACATATCATTCAATGAATAAAAAATTAATCAATGTTATGAAATACTTTCGACATCTTTAGTACCAAATTCTAATGGCAAATGGATTGCATAGTTGTTAAGAAGGAATAAATGAAAATGTAGGTAACATGGAATGAGATTGAAAAAAAGAAATCTGATGAAAGAATAAAATAATAATAATATCTTCAATCAAGTACGACGATATAATGATTGTGGCGGTTCCACTTCTTCAAAAGCCCAAGGTGGCCAACGAAAACTTAAACAGCAGCAGTGAAACTTATAATATTTTTGCTCTCCAAGGCCATAACGTGTGGTACCGGCAGTAGCACCACGGATCATTGTTCGACCTCTCGTTGTACTTGTGACATTTGCAGGCCCAGCACTTGGTCCATAATACTCGGATTGTTGATGGTTAGAATTACTACCTCGGTAGTAATTTGCCACACCGTGATTAGCACCGAATTCCATTTCGTCTTGTAATCCTGAACCACTTGGGAAATCATTTCGAATACCCCTTATTGATTCATTTCTGCTGACAGAAATGCCATTTTGCGGTCCTCCAAAGCCACCACCAGTCCCGCAATGTCGGCAAATGTATGATGGTAAATTGTGTCGTTTTGATTTGGTGCCACCTGAATGACCACCAAGAACACCACTTGGACGAACTGGAGATAAATTTTGAACCTTGGAATGTCGTATGGTTGCACCGCCGGGATCTTCACGATAATTTCGAATTGAACGATCCAAGGCATCCCAATCCGATTCAGTAGGATTGGACTGTAGGGTTACTAAGTTGTCAAAATAATGATCATTACCACGTCGTCCATCATAGGTACCTCGGTGACCGGTATTAACACTAAGATATGGCTGATAATTATAATTTCGTTGTTGGTGAGATTGGTACCTCTTTGTAGCACCATTATATCTCTCATCTGTTCCTATTGCTGGAAATCCATAATCATCGCTGAACAACCAATCTTTTCGATTATCTAATGATCGCGACCGTCGTGGTTGATTCTCAGCTCCAAAATAACCAGGTCCTGAGGTGCCAAAATAACTTCCAACTCCACCCTCTGCTCCGGTACCGGAAATAGTATAGTCTAATTCAGAGGACTTATAAAGTTGATTTCGTTCCTGTGGTATTCGTGGATGCGGACGAAAACGCCGTTCTCGGTAACTATAATGGCGATCCATAATAGGTTTGATTGTATAGTCGTAGTAATCAAGATACCCAGATAGGTATCTTAAAACTTCAGATTTATCATCCAATAATAAATTTTTTAATTAACTATAGGTTAATTAGAAAATTAGCAGGTTGAATAAAGCCAGAGATTTACTGCTTTTTTCGAATTAATTTGGAAAGACAAAAAAGCAAAATCCGAAGGAACAGAGAATATTTCAATATTTAATAATATATATATATATAGCAAACAGAAAAAAAAATAATAATGCCAATTTGAATATTCAAATTAGAATGAATTAGCGTGTAGAACAAAAAATACGGATGAATGATATAGCTAATTATTTGTTGAAGTAATTTGATAATAGCAATAATAAATTCCAGCTTTTCTGAATAATACCAAATATAGGAGACTTTCCGTAAAATAATACCATTAAAATTTAATAGGAAAGATGTAAAATAGTACCATTTTTCTTTACTGTATTATTATTACCAGGTACCAATTGATTAATTATATATTACGGGCCAGGAATCAAAAGCATGAATTAAGAGTAGCAGTAAGGGGAGAAAATGATCGCGCAATACTTCGACAATTGTAATGAGTTTGAAGAAAAAATCTTTTTCTTTTTCTTTGAAGCAATTGACTACTCCATGTCATCAACCGTCTAAACCGGATCGAACTGGTTGGTTCTGCATATACCACACACACCACACAAGCACACACACACACACATACATATATTATACAGATGTAGATGAAACATATGCATACAATCATTCATATACATCAAAGTAGGAAAACCGTTTTGTATCTGAGGAAGAAAGATGAAATGAGAAAAATGGTGGTAAAACAAGTTCTTGGCACCTTTTTCATCTATCAATTGATTCAATTTGTCTCAATGAAAAACGTTAGTTCGATGAATCATTTTAAAGAGGTTATGGTAATTAATGTAATCGTCGACGTTGTTGTCGTAATAATCTTTAGCAGTAATACTTTGCTATAGCAATGTTTAATGCAATTATTTTAATACTATACTGTTTAGTTTTAATATAGTTCAGAATCCAAAAAAAAGATCAGAGAGTGAAAATTTGGTAGCAAACATCACTCTATAATTATTAATCAACAATAATAATATTATCATTATTATTATTTACTACTATTATTTATTACTTATTATTTATTATTGTTTATTACTTACTACTATTTATTATTATTGTTATTATATTATAACGAATTACTCGTTATCATTATTAACATTATTTTGATAATTTGGTTCAAGATATTACTGATAGAAGTAAGTGAAAGAGGAAATTTTCGACATATCGGAAATAAAAAATTCCTAACGTATCAAGAAAAAGATTGTTAACTAATCATTGTTCTCTCATAATGGTTTTGTGATGATTTATTTTTTTCATAAAATAATTAATAAATAATAATTGGTAATTGATAGTCAGTTGTCGGATAAATAAATAATAAATAAATGTAATGAGGATTAAAATAATTATGACATTTAAAGTGAAACAAAGTATTTTGTAAATATACAACTTGGACAAATGGTTCTTTTTTAATTTAAGTGATAGCATTAATTTAAATATTCAAAAATTCAATGGGAGATGTATTAAAAAAGTTAGAAGTAAGATTAGATTTGATATCTATCAGCTTCAAGAGACTTAGCAATTCCTAAACATCCGATTCATATTATTTGACTGCTTATTAAATAAAAAATTAATTCCATTAATTTGTTTTTTTGTTTAAAATTTATGTTTATATTTCTGAAGATATTTTTTAATCATATTTTTATAATTTTATTAACTTTTTAAGGTCGAAAATTCTGACGATTATTTTGATGGATATTATTGTTAACAAGTGCCTTTTGAACCGTTCATTTGTCTTCTTGTTAATTTCTTCTAACTTAATTAATATTCAATTGTTTACTTTTATTCATTTGTTTCTTATATTATTCAAATCAAAAAAAATTTATTTAATTGTTTAATTTTTCATTTATATTTATTTTCATTCATTTACCTATACTGTAATTCAATTTTTTATCTCTAAGAACAAATTTCTACAACATCTATTCGAATTAAAATAACAATATAATATATGATAATGATTTATTGATTTTTAAATTATCATCAAATAAAAAAGAGAAAGCAATCAAAAAACTAACCAAATCATCGAAGTGAACACCGACAGCAGCGGGTGAATTGATCGCTAATTGTGAATCAACCATCTGATAATTACATTAATTTAAAGAAAAAACAAAAAACAAAGATAAAAGCAAATATTTCAATTTAAATTAAAATTGATTCATCTTGGAAAGAATTATTGTAATAATAATTTTTGTAAATTGTAATTTTACGATAAATCTTTTTTGAATCTCAGATTTACTGTAATTGTAACTTTTTTGATTATGTACTGTAAAATATTAAAATAAGAAAACAATGCAATTTATAAGACTATTGCAAAAATGACTAAGCTTAATGAATGAAAAAATTATTTACAGCAATGTGGTAATAATAATAATTTAAAGAAAAATTAAATTTTTCCTTTCATTACAAAATAATGTTGTTGATACTTTCTTTTTTTTAAATAAATAAAAATTTTATTCTTCGTTAAATTTTCCTTATTTACAATTTATATAATTTGTATAAACAAAAATTTCAATCTTTGTTTCGTTTTTTAACATAAAATTTTAGATCTGAATTTTAGATTAGAATTTTAGATTACAATTTCGATATAGAATTTTAGGTTTCGATATAGAATTTCTATATCGAATTTTATATCATGAGTTCATGATTTCTATATGGGATTTTAGATTATGAAATCGATATAGAATTTTAGGTGATTTCTATATAAAATTTTAGATTATGATTTCGATATGGAATTTTAGATTATGAAATCGATATAGAATTTTAAATGATTTCTATATAGAATTTTAGTTTATGATTACGATATAGAATTTTAGATTATGATTTCCATGCAGGATTTTAGTTTGTGGTTTCTATGTAGAATTTTAAATTATGATTTCAATATAGAATTTTAGATTGTAATTTATGAAATTTAAATCTTGAATTTTTGATGGTTTAAAAAATTTGAGAAGGAAAAGTTAAAAAAGAAAGAACAATAATTTAATAATTAATTACTTGGCCAAATGAATCTAATGGTTCAACATAGTTTGCTGGTAAATTACCAAAATGATTACCAATTCTACCATATAACCATTGTTCATTATTTTGCTCAATTGGTTCTTCATTTCGATCTATGATCTAAAAAAAATGCAACATATTAAAATTAAATTAATAAATATAGCATGGCATAATTCTAATTTTCATGATAATAATTATACTAGCAGTAATTATAATTACAGTTTAAATAGTAATCTCATAAATTATCATTAATATCATTATAACAATGATTATCATGATCATAATTTAAATTTTATTAAGTAAAATTTATCAAGATAATTTTTTGATTATAATTTATCAAGAAAATTTAATACAAGGAGAATATTACTTACTTGTATAATATCACCTTTGGAAAAACTAAGTAAATTAGGTTCATTTGTAATATAATCAGCTATAGCACGCATATATATTCGCACCTATAATTTTTACAATGTTACTTTCAATTTCACGATTTAATAATAATTTTTTCAAATAAATTTAAAAAAAATGATTATTTAATTTGAATTCAAGAGTAAACAAGAAAGAGTTATTTTCAAAATCTTTCAAACTACCAATGCCTAAACTCTTAATGGTAATACAAAATATGCCTGAACTCTTAATGGTAATACAAAATATGTCTGAACTCTTAATGGTAATACAAAATATGTCTGAACTCTTAATGGTAATACAAAATATGCCTGAACTCTTAATGGTAATACAAAATATGCCTAAACTCTTAATGGTAATACAAAATATGCCTAAACTTTTAATGGTAGCTCAATGAATGTTTATAATTTGAAAAATATCAATTCATTTAATAAATCATGATGAAAAAATTATTTGCAATTAATAATAAGTAATTGCGCTTAACTTATGTTTGAAGTTGCCAATATGTTTTAATTTCACTTTAAATAATTAATTTAGGATTTTTTTCGAAAATATTTTACAAAAATTATATAACAAAGAATGTATTTGAGAAGGACTTATTCAAATTTTTATTTCCTTTAATTTTTTTCATCATATAGATTAAAATATCAGAAATTATTTTAAACTATATCCTATATTTCAAACTCCTCCAATTATTGCTATATTATCTCATCCTGAAATATGAAAATTTAGCAAATTGAAAAAGACAATGTTATATTAATGGAAATTTTAATAATCCTAAATTGATTAATGGATTATAAATGAATAGAAATAAAACAATTTACTTTTCCACCATTAATTGACATCATTTTATCAATTAATAATTGAATTTCTTGTGCTTGAATTGATTGTAATAATAAATGTGAATCTTGACGTGTTTGCAAGCGTAATTGTCGACCAGTACCATCTAATTGCATATCAATAATATCACCATAACTATATTATAAAAGATAAGCGTAATATATTGAAGTAAACAATATGAACAAAATCTATTTTTATCAACAGATAAACAAAAAAAATCAATTTTTTTATCAATAGATATCAATCATTTTAAAAGTAATACTAACAATAATGAAAGTTATAATAGAAAATAATTTTATTCACTTACTTGAAATGATCCAAAATATTTAATTCTATCTTATCATCATTAACATCTTTGTTTAACAATCTAAAATTTAATAATTATCACTTTTTCTTTTTGACGATTTATCCAACTATATATTATAATGATATTTTTTACAAATTAATTATTAAATAAATTATTAGAATAAATTATTATTAATGGAATTATTAAATTATTAGAATTATTAGAATATAGTTATGTTTTTTACTTTGTAAATTATTAGAAGAAGAAATTGGATTTTATATTTGTAAATATATCAAACAGTAATTTCTTAACTAAAAGAATTTATGAAAAAGAATTTAAAATAATTTTTTCTTTTTCAATTCTTCCATAATTTTGAATAAATCATTTATGTTGTATTTAAATTTAAAGTTTTCATCAAAAAAAGATAATTACATTTAACTATAATATAGTAAAAATACGTACGTGAGACCCGATTCATGAACACTTAAGATTCGACGTGCGTTTATTACTTCATTAGTAATTCTATTTATAAAATGATCCACTACTGGAAATTGAACACTAAAGTATAATGGCCATCGTCGAGCATATTGGATAACAGCTATCTTAACATCCATCGTAATTAATTGAGGATTATCGAGCAAATCGGGAGGAATACGATAGTTGCCTACAATTTAATTATTAAAATTAATATTTGAAAATTTTTTTAAATATTTAAAGCATTTTGTATAAACATATCCTCACGTTAATATTTAAAAACTTTCTTTAAATTTTTTTAAAATTATTAATATCGACTTTTTCAAATAAAACAAATCTTACAACTATCAAACCTTACAACTATCTTTTTTCAAGTAATTCAAAATTTAAACTAAAAATGGAAAAAGCTAATCAATCAATGTTTCTTCAGAGATTGTTAGATTCCTGCTAGATTGTTAGATTAATCTTTTCTTCAATTCTTAAATTGAATTGTGAATTTATTGAGTACATCAGTACTAACTATTACAGCAATATATTATCCATGATAAGATTTAATATATTATGAAGAAAAATAACTTTATATAATATTACAATAATAAACAAATATCGATATCAAATATTTTATTCATTTCTTAATTTTAATCAATGAAAAGAAGAAAAATAAAACTTACGTAAAATTTGACTTACGGCATCACGTTCATTATTATGAATTCGATAACTTTTAGGTTTACGACAGTCGTTAATAATTTGAGCAAAAATTAAATCGATTTCTTGTTCTTCTCCAAGCTGTTCATTCGGATGAAATATCTACAAAATAAGAAAAGATAAACTTAAAGTTTTAAAAAGTAATTAAAATCTATTATTATAAATAAGAGAAGAGAATATTACAACTGCGTTACTTATATGTTAAATTAAAATGAAAAATTTGAAAATTTTTATTTATTACTTGTTTACGGATCATTATATCATATGGTTGTTGAACATACTGAACAGCGGGACGTTCACGTTGTTGCTCATTTTGCTGACCTAAAATTGATAAATTTAATAAATATATTATTAAGCAAATTTTACTACACAAATAAATTTTATAGCATAAACTAAAATATATAACAATAGCTACTATAATTGGTAATAAATCAGATCAGAAGATCAGAGAAAAAATAGATGTGTAGAAAAAGTCATTGAGATGATAAATAAATTAATTGATATTATTTATAAATTTAACTGGTGATAATTTTATTAATACGATAAAGCATGATATAAATACATTTACTAGTTGACATAGCAAAGCTATTTTAAAATTTTACCATCTTGCGTAAAATATGGTATCACTGATTGTTGTTGTTGAATATTATTTTGATAATACTGTTTATTATAATCATCATCTTGCATATAATATTGTACTCTCTGTTGTTGTTGCTTCTTCTGTTGAAATTTTGTTAAGTTATCTTGATGAATTGCAACTTCTTCCATTGTTTGAGAATGATTTTGTCCTTCATCCATTTCATTTATCCATTCTCCAAGTATTTCACGTTGCCCTTCAAACTAAAATAATAAATTTTTATTGTTATTTAATTTTAAAGCAAAAAAAATTTTTTTTAAAATTCCTAAAAATTAAACAATAAAAAATTTTCCTTTTGATCTTTTTGATTTTTCAATAATTTTGAAATAATTACTATTTCAAGGTAAATCGCAAAATGAAATGAAAAAAAAGGATTTTCCTCATTTCTTATTTTCCAATAATTTTAAAATAATGACAATTTCAAGGTAATCCTTTGAAGTATATTATTTTATTGATATGATTAAAAAAATATAAAGATAAATTTTATAATTATCCTAGCAAAATGTGTAACTGTTTATAAAACAACGAATTGATGAAATTATTTTTTGATAATAGCTCAGTTTATGCTATATTTTGTTATGGTGATAAATCATTACTTCTTTTAATGCTTCAACATTACGTCGAGAGATTGTTCGTGATGATTCATTATCGGATTCAGAACGATAAGGTAACATTTCTTGTTGCTCCAGATACTGTCGTCGTTGTTGCTGCTGCTGTTGCTGTTGTTGTTGCTTCTTATTGCTTTTCAGAGAATTTATTGTATTAGAAACAGTTACATTTTTTGTTGCAGGGCTACTACCATAAATAATCTATAAAAAGAAAGATTGAATACATAATATTTTTAGAATAAGTAAATTCTTCAAATCATTTTATTTATATATTGTAAAGTAAAATAAAATAATTTATATATAAATTTAAATTTAGATAAAAAATCAAATAAATAAATATGCGAGCGATAATTTACTTCTCCTTTTCCACCAATCCTTTTTAATGTATCATTTTCAAATTCAACAACAGTTCTCAGCAATTTCTTTCTCTGTATGATATCATCTGAATTTGTAGTATTACATACATTTGCATTCCTTATTCCAGCACTACCATAAATGTTCTGCAATCGTTCAAATATTTTAATTTCAAAAATTTCAGTTCAATTAATTCATTTCAATTAATTAGCATTTCAATTAATAAATCGTTCAGAAATAATTTTCTTTAAGATTTTTTTAAACAAATATTTTACAAAGAAAACATAAAAAGGAGAATGAATAAAATAAAACAATACCAGTTTTGGACAATTATTGTTGGAAATGATTTCTCTTCCATCGATAATTTCAGTACCGAATTCTGTTTCTGGTATATTTACTAATCGTGGTGGTGGTGATGGTGATTGTGGTGTTTGTGATCGTAAATATGGCTGTATTCGCCGTAATGATGGATATGAAGAGGATGGTGATGATGTATTATTTCCCTTTGATAATACTGCAGATCTTCCTAAAAATTACAAATTTGGAAATATAACTTTATCAGGAATAATTAAAGGTTTTAGTTTGTTGTAGCCGAATTGAACAAATCTAAATTCTAACAAGCCGGAATTAACTGATTAAATTTTAGATGATAATTTGATTGCAAAACGGAATAGAAAGGGAATAAAACAATACCATTAGTATGCGTAATTTACGGAAAATGATATCAATTTTCAAATGTTTGAAATTTTGCAATTTCCCTTTTTGTAAAATATAACATATAAGGGATGTTATCAATTTCAAATTTTTAAAACTTTGTAATTTAACTTTTTTCATCATTTTCAAAAGTATATTTCATGTTGTACTACTAACCTGAATTTGTTTTATCTCGCGTAGTTGTACCATAAAAATTATTCTTGTCTGTTTCAATCGAATTAAATTGATTTTTGTTACAATCGAATTGATGAAAATGTAATTGATTTTGTTCCTGCAATTTGATAATCATTTATTATCATCTGATAAAAGAGAAATAAACTAAATCTTTTTTAATAAGTATGTAATTAATTGATTAGTTAGTTAACCCTAATCTTTCAATAAGTATATTGTTAATTAACAAATAGATTAATGAGATAATAGAAAAAATTGTTTACTTTTTGCTTATAATGTAAATTTTTTGTTGTTAATGGTGGACTTTTCAAGCATTCATTTGTTTGTGGATGCACTGGTCCAATATACCTGTAATATCGTTTTCTCTTTTCTTAAAAAGAATTTACTTCAATAATCAACTCCTTATAAAATTGATAAATGCTTGTATTATCAACGATTATATATCACTTAAGAATCAATATTTTATTTTTATAACTAACTTAGATATTCTTTTATATCTTTTCAAAAAAGGCAACAAATTATAATTTCGTTTTAGCTTTCATATATATTAATAGTATATCAACTAGCGGTCAAATGATATCAACTGATCAATTGATAATATGCATAAAACGATTACCGAGCTTTAGTTGAAGTTGGTTGTATTTGTCCGACGCGACATTTCTCGCCTAAATTTGTGGGCGATTGTGCTGTTTCGGGAAGCGGTGAAGATCGCTAAATATGTGATAATAAAAATATTGTTAATAAGAAATCATTTGTCAATATTACTGATAAATGAATATTCTTCTGACTCATTGATGCAAAATTGATCAAATTATGAAGTAAAGAAACGGAATTATTTGAATCATTCATATAGTAATAAAAATGAAGTTAGAAAAATTTTCGAACAAACTTACAATTATCATTGTAGTTGATGAAACTGATAATTCGCCATCATTGTGCTATAAAACAAAAGATTGAATTATCACAAGTGATGGAATAATGAAATTTAGTGACAAGAATATTTCACTGTTTATCTCTAATCAACCGAAAAGATTAAAGGGGTAAAATGAAGAGTGAAAATATAATTATAAATATTAACAGTGTTAGCAAATATTTCCTTAAGAATTTTTCTTATGATTTACATACTATTTATGAATTAAAATATTACACCAAGATTTTTCAAACAATATCATTTAAGTAAGAACACATATAATTAAGTCATAATTAAGAGATATGCTTAAGTTGAATCAGTGATCCGAATTAATTGATCCGATGACTAATTCAAATATTAATGATCTTATCGTTGATATGGAAGAGATGAACACTATTCAATAACACTTAATTTTAGTAAATTGTTTTTCAAAAAAAGTCACCTCGTTATAACTATTACCATCTCCGTAGGTGTTAGACGTCATGGTACCATTGCTATACGGAGAGGATATTGTATTGTAATTCTGATAAGCTGATGCAGATGATAATGTTCGATCGTCCGGATGGGAGAGATTATCAGTAACCATTGAGTTTCTCAAATTTACACATCAGTTAGAAAGATTTTGTTTTGCAAAAATTAAAAAATCAAATTGTATTAAAATTTCAACTACTTTTTCAAGGAGGAAAAACAACTATTACTTTCCATTAAAAGCTGGATCCGGTTAAGCAGCAATTTATCTGACCAACGCATGCTACTTTAAGCTATAGACTAGATTAATCTATGAGTGGTCATACCGATCTCATAAATTCTTGAAAAATAATTGCAAATAACCTACCATAGTATAAGTGATTTCTTAGGTTGATAATAAAGTAACGGGATGAAAATTTTATTTTAAAGCATAAATTAATTTGATAAGCTATTTTTACTAGTGATAAGCTAATTTAAATTATGGATATAAAATTTAGAAATATAATAAAAATAATATTAAGAATAATAATAAAAATAGTTCGAGAAAAAGAATCAAGCTAGAAAAATGAGGTAAGATATGGTTTTTAATTATAAATTAGCTGGGATATGGTATTTTTTCAACTAAAGTAGTATGATAATTTAATTATTTTTAGGTTAATCGACTTGTATCATTTAAAAAATTCCCAAATACTTTCTTTATCAAAATTTGATCAGAATTAACAAATTCCTCTTACAGTCAAACATATATGCAATTAGAATTGATAATAATGAGAAAGTAACTACTTAACTTAAGAACTTTTTCATTTCTCTAAAAAATACTATTTCTTATTTGCTTCTTATTTTAATTTCAAACAAGCTTGACTAAAATCATGTCAAATTAAAAAACTAATATAACTATAATATTATGCCATTTATCTTCTACTTTCATTTCGAATATTTAGCTTATTGAATTAATAAAAACTTATCATATCATAATGCTGACAAAAATACGATATGTTGTAGTGACAGAAAACAAACTTTGTTGATACTGGTGATAGACATGCTGTAACAGTTGTTGTTGGTGTTGGTGACATACACATCATCTAAAAATATTTATTCAACCGAAGATTTATTTTAACTTATATGTATAATGTGATGGATGGATAATAATATCAAAATGATAAATATAATCAATATAATATACTGATTATTTACTACAATATAATAACCTAAAACTGAATCTCTATCATTAAAAAATAATCTATCTTAATTCAAATTGCAAATCATTTAACTTTCAGCATTCAATATTTTCACCATTGTCATTTCTGATTTTTATCATTATTAATACATCAAAATTAATACCCAATTATCTATCACAGTCTAATTATATTGCCCACTGCATAAATGATGATAAGCCTAAATTTAGACTTAAATAAGATACAATAAAAGAAATAACATATAGATTAACGAATAGAAATAAACTAATTGGTACCATAATTGGCATTACTGATGGTAGTGCTGTAGCAGTAATGGTACCATTAGATGCGGTATTATTATCATATGTTTGCTCATGATTTTCTTGTTGTTGTTGGTTTGAAGTAAGCATACGACCTATAATTTTCATTAATCATTTATCATCTTAAAAAAAAATTGCAAAAAAAGCCAGAAAACAATACCATTTACAGGTAGCATTAACATCATCGGTTGTGCCGCATAATTAACCGTTGTTGTAAGGCATTGTTGCGATACCTGAAAACATAAAATACATAAGAATTAGCTTAAAATATTATTAAACAAAATATCAATTAAGAATTACAAGATAATATACACCTTTCATCTGATATCGATATATTATTAATGATAAAATGATAAAAGTAACCGATTGTAAAGTTTCATTTGCATCATTAGCAATAGTTCCTTTAATTGTTGGAGTGATCATTGAAGCACTTATATGACTATCATCAGTTCTTTCTAGGTCATTCGCTGGTAACACCTGAAAACATTTTTCAATTTTTGAAAAATGATTAATTTTAGATTTTATAATTTTTAATTTATGAATTACCGATAAATTACTACATTTGTTACAAAATTAAATTGTCAAAAGTGGTCGCCTAGTTATTATTTAATAAAAATTTCATAATAAGTTATATTCAAAAACAAAAAAACACCGAATTTTTAAACTATCAAAAAAATGAATTTCAAATTATCTGATACCTGTTCAAAGATAGCATCCAGGAATTGATCCACATCACTTGCTTTCGTTGGAATTTGCATACGTCTAATAGAAGTTGAAACAGATGATTGCTCTGATGGAGCTCTAATTAGCGATTCTTCTACAGAAAAGAAAGAAAAACGAAGTAGTACGACAAAACGTAAATGTATAAATGATAGTTGCTCAAAATATTAAACGGTTTTATATAACTCTATTAATATTATTACCATTAATTAATTCAATTTATCAGACTTATCAACCCAAAAGATATGGCATTCCTTAATTATAAAAAAGTTTTGAAGTTTGAAAAAGAAAAAATAGATTTAAATAAATAAAAAATTAATTTCCCATCACTTTATCGAACTTGTCAATCCAAAAGGTATAACGTTTATTAATTACAGAAAAGTTTAAAGTTTAGAAAAAAGGAAAAGTGAATTTAAATAAATAGAAAATTAATTCTCTACCAGTCGGCTGACTTGATTGTTGTGGTGTTGAACATAATAAGGCATGTCTTTCCATTTCCTCATTTTGTTGCAGCATAATGTTTGACCTCTGAATATATTATTTCATTTTTATACAAAGAAAAATTTTTTTATTAATTTTTCTTCGTCAAAAATTTCAACTTGTTTTATTTCACATTTTCATGCCAATATTAAAAATTGAAACTATATGTGACCTTAAGATTTTTCATAATTAAAATTTTTACTCGAAAATTTGAATATTTTAATCTTTGAATTTAACATTAATTAAATTTTCATAATTTTTCTACCGTAAAATTATCAGGATGATGTTGTTGCATATCATTACTACTAATCATATTCATTTGAGCAGTTGTTGTTGTTGCTGATGATGGTGATGATGATGAAATATTTATTTGTTGATTAATTAATTGTTGTCCTAAAGAAATTAATTACATTAAGAGCAGAGAAAAAAGAAAATTTGAAAAATAACTGAAACGAAAAGATTGTTTCTCCTTAGATGAAAGTGAGAAATTATAAGAAGAAATATACAGATTTTAAAATCTTGGAAGTATGGAAATTTTGGAAGTTTTAAAATCAGAACAAAATATGTAACATTTTGAAGTTCAAATCTCTCTACTCCTTCCAACCATAAGTATCTCATTGCTCTATTTATACAATAGCAATAAATGCTACTGTCGATCAACAAATGTAAACAATTAAATAATTATAAATAAAAAATATAAACAATTATTGCATAAATAATAGCAGCGAATGCTACGACTTACAAACAAATAAATAATTAAATATAAATAATTACCAATTCCATTTTCCGCGCCAGCTATCTTTGATTGTTGATGTGGTGGTGGTTGTGGTGCTGGTAGGAATGAAGTTGTTGGAAGCATTACTGGCATGAATTGTAACTGAGTTGATATAAAAGGCTGAAAATAATAAAATAAAAATGCTACAAATATCTGAATGATTCCTTTATATATTGATATTTTATTATACAGTACCCATTATACAATATTATACAATTTATGGTTTTATCTTATAGTTTGGTAAAATATCTATCGAAATTCCACTGATTATACAATCATTAACTAAAAAAAAATAAATTGTCTCAATGATATATGGCTTATGAATGCTTTCTATGTTTAGTTTTCTTTGTTAATTATATCAATAATCGAATAATTGTTAATTATCGCTGAAAACTCTGATAATATCATTTCATAATAAAATATAAAAAAAATGTCAATCAATAATTTATATTCCTTACCATAGTAGCCATTGCAGTAAAATGTTGCGGTATATAAGCAAAATTAGATTGCTGATTCTGATTTTGTTGTTGTCGAAGTTGGACAAACTGCTGTTGTTGATTTCGATAACGTTGCAATGTAGTATCATGTTGTTGTTGTTGCTGTTTGGGCTATTATTATAAACAAATAAAAAGCATTGAGATAATTAAAGCAAGCATTATTACAAAAGTAGATCAATTAAGGAAAACTAACATGAAAATTATCATCTATCGTATTGCGACCATCATAAAGAACATTGCTGTAAATGTTATCATCATAACGTTTACGATCCATTATTATATCGTAATGATTATTGTTGATAGTAGCACTATCTAAAAACAAATATTTATTCAAAAAAAAACAAATATTAGCAAAATATTAATTTAAGAAATATAAAGATTTTATTAATAATCATACCAGGGTTTTGATTAATCTTATATCGCTTATTCAAATTACTTGATGATAACTCTGGTAAGGCATGGTGCTGCTGCTTCTGCTGCTGCTGCTGCTGCTGTTGACCATATAAAAGTTCACTAAAAAAATATTAAATTTGACCATTTGTCTTTAACTTTGCTTTGTTGAAAATTATTCAACAATTATGCCAAATTGAATTTTTGACGAAACATACAATAGTTACAAAATAAAATGCCCGTTTTTTTTATAATTATTGTAATTATAAAAAGGAAATAATAAAACAAAGGAAACCTAATTTCCATTTTTTCAAATAATTTTAGCAAATCCATCAAAAAATTAAAACCATTTAAAATCGAGTTTTTTTAAAAATATTTTTAATAAATTTTGTTAAAAAAAGCTCATACCCATCTTTTGCTTCCCTTTCCTCAGTTGCATAATGTTGTCGTTGTTGTTGTTGTTGACGATATTGTTGTTGTTCGTGTAAACTTGAATTGCAATGTGGTGGTGGTATTGGAGGTATTTTGATTGTATTTTCTTCATAAATAGATGCATCATTATCAAATGTTTGATGGTTTGATTCTTTTAGCTTGGATTCAGCATGCAAATCATTTTGCATCCTTTGTGATACAAATTGTACCGATCGTTGTGGCATCATTGATTGCTGCCCTTTTTGTAATTGTGATTTGGCATTTGTCCCAAATCGATTTTGTGAATTATCATTCTGAAAAATTATCATAATTATATATAATTGTGATATTTTTTCTATTTTAAAATTATTTATCGAACATATTTCTCAATACATTCACATTTTATTAAAAATTTTATTAGTTTTATTTATGGAAATAAAAATTAATTTCGTTTCTTTTTATTATTTTCATTTTTTATCACATAAATGGAAATTTAAAAATAAACAAATTTAATCAACTTAATTGGTTAAAATTTAATTAACTATGAACTAATTAAAATTCATTTCTAAATAGCTTGAAAAGAAATAAATGAAAAATCCTAAAAATATTCTTTAGAAGAAAAACTATCAAAATAGCATTTAATTTTTCTTTAACAACTTAATTAACTATTAAATAAATAATTATATCATAATTATATCATTCACCTGTTTCATTTCTTCATTTGTTTCAGGTTGTTCCGATATTTCTCTCTCAGTAGCCTTTCCATTATCCCGTGAACCTTTCCAATTAGCACTATTATCAAACATAACGAAAATTTCATTATTATATTCTGCAATCAAACAATCATTGTTAAAAAATAAAATTATGCAACAATTAAATAAAACAAATGAATAATTTATTTAAAAAAATTAATCAGTAAATAAATAACCAATTGATTGTTGTTCCATTTGTGCTAATATATCATAAACATAACAATTTCCCGGCGCATATATTGCATAACGTTCATCTTCGACACTTAATGACCAACCATCAGGATCACCAATACCTCTATAAGAAATGATTAATTTGAATAAAAATTACAAAACGATCCTAATTTAACAGAAATTATTTGTTAGTTAAAATCTATAATTAATTAATTACTAAAATTAAATTATTAAATATTTCACCGATTTTGCAAACATCTTCGTGCTAATTCATCGGCAGTCATCCAAGAGTGCACTTCAAATGATCCTTCTTGTTTATCGGCACATTTAACTTTTAAAACAGCAGCTTGTTGTTGTTTAAAACTAGCCTAAAAATGAAAACAGAACTGAATCCATTAAATGGAACTATTCAAAATATAACTAATGTAGAAATATATATAATCTAATAAATTCAATCATTAATAAAAATTTATATAAAGAAAGAACAACAATTTAATTTAAATTAATTCCTGGCGATATCAATTAAATTTAAATTAATTCTTCAAAACGTTATCATTGAAAAATAACAGATCAAAAAGATAAAAGATCAATCAAAATGTGCAATAATTAAATTTATCACAAACAAATTGTCAAAATTATTAAAATCAAATGTTTCTGGCAAGAAAGGAAAAACTACTTAACTATTCAAATCTATTATTCGAGAATATGAAACTAATTTCTTGACGAAAAAACTTAGTTTACATAATGTAATGATAATAATATTATCTTATCATTTAAAAAATTATACTGCTATCAAGTCTTATCATATCATGTATGTGTCAACAGATGCTAAAATGATATATAACAAAAAAGAGAAGCAAATTACAACCTGCTCCAGGAATGTTGATGCAAAATAACGGGATTTTGGTAAATCCTTCGTACCGATACATTGCCTTAGTAAGCCATTAATTAATAGACGTGATAAATTTGGTGTTTGTTGCTTGAAATAACTATAAATTTCAATTTAAATTTAAAATTATGAAAAGAAAGCGAGAAAAATTTATTATTACCATTTTTTTTCCATTTCAAACTATCATTTTTAACATTTAATTATCATTTCAATTTCACTCCGATATTTTTTGAATTCTACAAATTCATTGATATATTTCTTTTTGATATTTTATAAACTTAAAAGTAAGTCAAACATTTTTATCAATAATTAATTAATAAATTTTCTTACTTCATAAGAGAAGGATAGAGTTGTGGTGAAGGTGTAAAACTATTAATTGCACCAAGAAGTAATGTCCATGCTTTATCAGCATTATTTTTCACACCATTACGATATGTTTGATTACAAAGTTGTACCAAAAGTTCATCCCTTTGTGTAGGATTATCTAAGGCCTAAAAAATATTTCTATATTATATCATTCAAGATAAAGTTTTTAACGCATGTCTTTTTCTTTATTCATATTTATGATAAAATTTATTGATTACTTTAAAATAAAAATTTTAGAGATTTTATTCATTCGTTTCTATTTTGGTTAAAATCTATAAAATGTGATAAGATGATAATTTTTTTCATGCTATCATTATTGAGATTATCTTATTTTCACTACTATTATTATTATTAGATAAGAGAAATTTCATAGATTAAATATATTTTATAGTTGATAGATAATAGATTATAGAATAGTTATTAGATTTATTCAGATAATCATTTAACTATCAATCAAAATGATAATGTTTCGAATCATAAGTTTGATAAGATTAAATTATTTTAACATATGTGATAAATCAGGAAACAGGTCATAAATTAAGTTCTAAGCTTGAAACTGATCATGAATAAAGTAACATTTTTAATTAGAAGATATAAATGGAATTAGACTATTTCAAATTACATATTACAAAAATGAATCATAATTCAACATGTAATAATTAATTAACTAATTAATTCTTACTATTTGAATAATTGCTTTTCCAAGAATCGCTAATTGTTCGCAATTCATTTGTGTATTATTCATATATCGCAGTATCATTGCAAACATTTCCAATGATTGATGAAATTCAATCTCAGTTTCTTTATGTAAAAATGGTGTAGCTATTGGTTCACGTCGCATTTGCAACAAATGACCCTAAAAATAAATTATCCGTAATTTTGATTAACGTCGCATTTTCAACAGATGACCCTAACGATAAATTTTTCCTAATTGATTTATTTTTTATTATAAAAATAAATATTCGCTTATTAATATAATAAAATAATTATGCTAAAAAATAATCTTCGTTGTACGCTTTATTTTTCAGTTTATTTAACAAACATTCTTTTAGCCTTTCAAATCGCATAATGTAAATATATTATTTGATGAAAGTTTAAATTTGAACTCCGAACTTTTGAAAATTTGATTGTAACACTATAGTGGCATATCGTTTTCTTTGCAAATTTCATTTTCAATAATTGCTTATTTAAATTTTAATTAATAATTTCTCTACTGAAAATTTCATTTATAATCATATTAGTATAATTCATACGGTATATCGTAAATATCATTATCATAGATACGTATCAAATTATCTCTATTATTTATTATAATTTTAAAAAACATACTTTAAAATTATTTTCCGCAAATTCTTCAATAGTTTCCGTTGGAAGTTCTAACGATTTACCGATACGCTTATTGTATGGAATATAGTAATATACAGTTCGTATATCTGACATTCTAAAAATTGTTAAATTCAGTCAAATTATTTGAGCAAATTTTTTTAACTTTTTGAAATTATAATTTATAAGTTATAACGTTTTTAAAATATAGTTTACGCATACGTAAACTATATTTTAAATAAATATGCAAACTATATAGATGTAAACTATATATATGTAAACTATATCTTAATTGTCTCTTATTTCTTATAATTTTAATTATATAGTTTTTCAAATTAATAATTTTATTGAAAATATTTAGTTTCCATTAAATATATTTTTCTAATTACTTTTTAAAAGTATATTCTATTATTACTATTGAAAATATATCAATGATATGACGATAGAAAGAGAAATTTTTGATAATACTTATCTGTTAGCAAATAATCCATTCTTCAATTCTTTCTCAACATTTTTTGGTAAATCTAAATATTGTACAGCAGCTAGTGATGACGAATCGGCTATTCGATTATGTTCTTCGGTTAATGCTATATTATTTTCACATCCATCATCGGTTTCTGTATACAAATTTAAACGACGTATCTTTCGTGTTTCCATATCAATAGCTTTACGAATTTCTTTTCGACGACGATCAACATCACGTCTATAATATGTAAATTGCAAAATTTGATTAATTATTGATAGAATTAATTTTTAATTCTTTTTGATCAAAGTTTTTCTTTTATTAACCTTGCAAGCCATCCTCGTAAACCTGATTGTAATACTATAGTAGCATGTCGTTTTTTTGCAAATTTCCGTTCTTCCAACCATTTACGTATATTTTTTTGTATTACAATAGCAGAGCAATCAAGTAACGTTTCACGTCGAGTTTCTAAGTGTTCACGTAATGGTTCACGCATAAATACTTGAGTTTTACCTTAAAGAAATGAAAACAAGAATAAGAATAAAATTTGATGGTTTTAAAGAAAAATTAATTTATATTAATAATATTATAAGTTTATGAAAATTTTATCTTTAATTGAAATTTAAAAAGAATGTATGAACAAGAATTTCCTTTCTTTCTTTCTTTCCCTTTTTTAAAATGGCTTTTTAATGATTGATATAATATTATAAATCCAATACGAACAGGAATTGGTAATTTCTTTTAATGCTTTTTAAGATTTAGGAAATTTTTAATGAATGAAATACTTACCTAATCGGTAATGTTGATGAAATTTATTACCCTGTTGTTCAAGGATATCTTTTGTTAATTCATATATCGTTTGATATCGAGTTATATCCGATGGTAAAAAACAACGATATCTGAATTATTGTAATAAATATGTTATGAGAATTAAAAATGAACCGTATAATATTTATGTTTTTAATATTAATTCCAATAATTTCATTTCATTCAAAAAAAACTATATTTTAATTTTCTTTACGAATCTTACGAAAGATATGCCATCATTGCTTATTTTCTTTTATTTGATTTTCTTATATCTCATTCATTCGCAATTTTAATTGAATAGCAAAATCTTTTTTCCCTTTTCAATATTCCGGAAATATGCAACAAAAAAAGAAGGATGTATGATAATGTAGACATTATCATACATCCTTCTTTTTTACTACAGCCGACAAATAATGATATGGCGATAATGCAAAAATATAGCGGACTAATAATAATATGATGATAATGTAAAATTATAGCCGGATAATTCGAAAAAGAAAAGTTGAATTTTGATTGAAATATTTTCAAACCTTGCGGCAAATCGATCAAACGATATGCGATACGGAAATCCTAAGCGATGATTATTGACGGTTGCAAGCAATGAAAGTGATCGTAGCTGTCGTGCAACTGTTTGCGGACAAAACTTCAATGTTTCACGTTCTTGATTACTACGCATGCAACGTACAAATTGCACTGAACCTCTATAATATGTTACCAAATAAATATGTATGATATTTTGCTAAAGATTATAAACGGACTTTAATCAAATTTTGCTAAAGATTATAAATAGACTTTTCATAAACTCAATACAAGAAATTAAATTTGTAAGATAAAGCATTATTTTATTCTAAATTATTTAGATTAACAGATGGATAGGATATTTTCTTTTACTATAGCCTTTTCACAAATAGATATGGTAGTTTTACCGTAATCGTTTAATGCGACATTACTAGGGATAAAAAATAACAACAAATAAAATTTTACTTATTCATTTTATCGATGAGTGCTTTTGCTGATCGATTATATTGTTGAGCAACATAAATTGTTCCTTCTGAGTACTGCTGCTGTTGTTGTTGTTGTTGTTGTTGTTGTGCCAACTTTATATTATTTGTTATCAAGCAACGAAACATTTGAGCAATAGACTATAAAAAACATTTTATTTAACTCAAAATTTATAAATTAATTAATTAATTCTTTCTAAATTAATTAGTTAAAATTAATTAATTAATTAATTTTTTTCTAAAATTTTCATGCTTATATTTAATGAAAGAAAGCGGTTCGAAAAAAATTCAATGTAATTTATATTGTACATTTATTATAAAATTATCAGTTAATGATTATTTCAGATAAAATTTCATTTGTAGTTTAAAAAATTATCAATGTGCATTTTTATTAAATGATATGTCAAATATATTACCGAATTTTGACTGGCAGCAAGTAGTTTTATTGTTTCCCATCCAATTTTTAAGCGATTTTTCTCCACAAATTGTGCGCAATCATACCAAACTTGACCAGCATAATGGCGAATAGCGAAATCATATCTATCCACTAATGTTTTAGCATTGGCAATAGAAGCAACTGTTGTAGTAGTAGTAGTTGTTGTTGTTGTTGTTGCTGTTGTTGCTGTTGTTGCCACTGTTTTAGAAGTAAATAATTGACGTGAGGATTGTTGATGGTTAAGAATACATTGTTGCAGATAGCGAGCCGCAGATGCCTAAATTGATAATTTTTTTTGATCTCAAGAAATCATATTGTTGATTTCTTTTTGTATAATTTCATATTGTTAATATATATTCTTAATATATATCATATTGTTAATTTTTTTTTTGAAATTTTAATCAACCACAATTTAATTAATTCTTATCATCATAGTTATGATTCAATGAAATACGATTCAACTGGCTTAATATATTCGATCATACTAAATTAACGTAAGATGATTATCATACTATGAATGATTATCGTACTATATTAGCATGAGGCAACTGTCATATTTATTGCTTAACAAAGGACCGAATTAGGAAATAAGATTAAGATTATTGATGATCATCAAAATTGTCAAATTGTAACACTTCAAAGAGTAGGGAATGATTTGGTGGAGATGGCTTCATTTCAGTGCAAAGTTAGATTATCTAGGAGATAGTATGATGAATGTCGAAGGAGAAAGAATTTATTATATATAAAAAAAGATTTCAAGAATGAAATTTTCAAATATAATTATTAGGAAACAATAAAACAACTCATTGTTTTTAATAAAGAAACTGGAAATAATTTACATGAAAACAAAAAGAAGAATTAGGAAAACAAACTTTTGGAAACTTCGATTCATCATCTAACGCTGGAAGTAATCCATTAGGACGCTTAATGATTAATTCGATAACTGGCTCATTATTAAACCATTGAATAGACTGTAAAAGTAAATCCATTTTATAATTTATAATTAAAAAAAAATTGCTAAATCGATTATTACCTAAATTAATGGCGCTGATTGTTTTATTTGCAATATTTCAGTAATTAAAATGAAATAAAAAGCTCACTTGCATATCAATTCCTGAAATATTATCTTTTCGATATTCCCATTGTAATTCTCTCAGCACTTTTTGCTGATAGTACCATTCCAAACGTTCATTATATAAATTAATACAAAATTGCTCAAATCCATTTGCTCTTGTAGAACGCTGCAAATTTCTCGTTTTTGTATATCAATAATTTATTCAATGGTACTTTATATTTGCTAATTGTTTTATTCATTTCCAATATTATAATACATTTAATTAATTTTATTAATGAATATGTTAACATTTAACACATATTCCTGAAATATCCCATTCAAAGATATATTAAATATAACCAATTTTAGGTTTTAATAAAAGGATTTCTAAACAATTCAGTTACGGAACAGCATTTTTAACAAACATTTATATCTTTCCTAGTGATTTTTATGTTTTAGTAAAATTTTCACTAATTTCAATTTATCATTAATATCAGTAAGAGTGAAGCTGATAAAATATTCATTTTGCAGTAGAAAATTTAAACAATTTTAAATTATCAATAATTTACTTTTAATTAACCGAAAATAATTGAAATGCTAAACATCAGAATCATTTTTTTAGAAAATGATAAGCGAAAAAAAGAAATCTTCTAATAGAAAATAAACATTTAATAATTAAAAATAAGAAATGAATATCAAATTTAAATGAAATAGTTTACCTCAAAACCATAACAATCAGTAAGCAAAATTGTTGCCACATTGTTGTTACTAACAAAATTGCATCCATTCATTGTTGTTGCATTAATACGTTGTAGAATCCAATCAATTAATTGCTCATACAATAATTGGGCAAGTGAATCTCTGTAGTATAATATATTTTTATTTACATAACAAAAATTTTTTGCATTGTTTTAAAAAATTAAACAAAAAAAGGTTATAGAAAAAGCAAATCTAACACGTAACTTTATTTTTAATTGTTAATTTTTTAATTCTTTTATCATAATAGTTTTTAATTTTTTAATAAATTATCATTACCTGACATCTAATGCTTGTTCAATGCTCAATGAAACTAATGTAATTTCGCCTTCTTCATTTCTTTTCTAAAATAAAGATATTTCATTTTTAATTAGTAACAAATTACATCATTTCAAAATTTTTCACATTTATATTTTCACTTTAAGAAAAATTATCATATTTTTGTAGATAATTTTATTTCATTGAATGTTGTTATTGATGTATTAGTATATCATTCCAATATTTAAATTAAATAATTCTGTATTTCAGTACCATTATTTGAATTATAGAAAAATTCATAGAAACAAATTATTAGAAGATTTGTTTATTGTGATATTTAAGATTATTCTTTATTGTAATATTTAAGATAAAACTATATTCAAATTATTTGATTAATAAAATATTATTATTTATTAATACTTTAAGCTTGTTCAAAATTTTGAACAATTTATAATCTTTTATAATGATTATTCATCGGTCAATTTTAAACGAAATATTTTTCAAATCATTTAATTACAACCAACCACTTGCTTCTGAGTTAACAATTGATACAGCGATTCCAAATCAACTTCTAATAAATATGCGCACCATTTTAATTCTTGCTCATTACCTATTTCAACGCTTGCCACAATATCATTTGATTGAGAATTCGTTCCATTTCCGATATCGTTTCTCTGTCAAAATTTTTTCATTATTAAATAATCTTCAAACTTTTTGATTCTTCAAAAATTTTCCAAATTAGATTTGCTATTATTTTAGCTTAATAAATAAAATAAAAAGTTTATTATTTATTACTTTGTTAAGTTTAAAGAACAAATTGCCAATATGTAAAATAGCAGCCAAAATACGTTGAATGAAATCCTGCTGATTTTCACTGATATCTAATAACTCTAATGAATTACATAGCATTTCATATTTTTGACATAGCGTTATCGAATCCATTGAAACTTTACCCTAAATAATCACATTTACTATTACTATAACTGAATTAGAAGTATCATAATGGGTATTGTAAGTGATAAATTCCATTCTTCATTAATATTATTATTATTATTGATAAATTTCCATGAAGATCAATAATTGATATAATTGTTTCTTTTCGTAATAGCAGTCTAAATATAACATCAAATTGGATAATTGGCTATTACTGATAGTTAAATTGGCTACTAATAATAATAGCTACTGATAATAATAAATCAATTGATGAATCAATATTAAAAATTTTTCAATCTTCTCATTATACTTACTATTTAATAATATTGTAAATGATTATTTTGTTAAGAAACATTTACCTGATTCAAGTAGAAATATTGTTGTCCACTTTTTAAACCCAATTTATTCTTCTCATTAATACTCATAGTTGCATACAGTTCATATAATATGTTATAATTACATTCACCAGGTCGTTGACTAACAATTCGACTAGGTTCAACGTGTATTTGAATTTGTTGTTGTTGCTGATATTGTGGTAAAATGGTATGAATAGAAAAACCAATAAGTGTTGCGCTATAAAAATTTTGTATTTCATAAATTAAAAACAAAGGAATAATAAACTTAATTTCTTAAATTATATATTAAAAAGCTTATTGAACAAATTTAATAGTAATAAATAAAATATATTACTTTCGATAAAACATTTCCATACAATAACTCATTCGTGTTCCTTGCGTATTCTTCAACGTACGAGCACTTCCAAATGCATCAAATATACGTTCCACTGCTTCTAACTATAATTCATTAACGATATATATAATAGATAAATAATTAATTAATTATCATATTTACAACTAATATTAGCTAATCTTGCAATATTTGAAATTTTCAATTTTGAAAAGTTATTTATCCTTTTGTTTAACAAATTCTAATTATATTTCTGTTGCATATTATTTGCATCGAAATTTTTTAGCGTTATATTTGTATAAATATATCAAATTAAAAATCATAATTAATATAGTAAGTCGATAATTTTGAATGGAAAATTACGACATATGAATGAAAAACTTTTGATTATTACGTAAATCTAAGAACTTATTAGCAATCTTTAATATAAATTTAAAGAAAAAAATTTCTACCTGTTGTACAGTAATTACTTGTCTTAAATTATGCTGCGTGGAAGTGTTAATTAGATAATTAGCACAATGCATTAGATTATAGGTTTTGCCGGAACCTGATTCGCCACTGCAAATATTTGAAAAACAAAATGGACATGAACATTTAGGAATTAATTGTAACTTTGCAGTAAGACTAATTAATAAAGGAGATAACAAGCAATAGATTAAAATATTTAAATTTTTTAAAACAAATGTTAATTTATTTTATATTAGAATTTAAGTAAATTGATCGGATATACCAAAAGCAAATTGATTCATGCTTCGATTGCTCGTTTTCAATACGCGACAAAGCTTTCTGAGCAACGGAAAATATATGCCTAAAAGGAAAATTTAAAATTTATAGCATTGTTAGGAAGTAATTTAATAGCTAATTGTTAATTAAATAACTCATGCTTTAACTAAGTAAAACAATTTAATTGCAGTAATTAAGCAAAGCTTATCAGTTATTAAATTTCATTGTTAACTTTGATATTTATATATTATTGTAATAAGCCAATTTATATTATCCATGTGAAAATGTATCAGAAAATAAATTTCTAAAAGCAAACAAAATAGATCAATTACATATTTAGATCAAAACGATAAAATGTGTTGAAAAATGATTATATTAGACTAATTGACATTCATGTAAATCAATATCATTTTAAATCGGATCGACAAGATGTATATATCAGTGATTCATTACATTTAGGTCATCATCATTATCATCGTTATCAGATAATCGGTTTAATTTCTTTCACAAACAAATAACAATCAAATTTATTTCTAATAAATGAAATCATCATAAAATGCTAACGCTGGTAAGTTATTTGGATTACTGCTTTGTCGATATAATTTTTGCACTGTATCATCGTAAATTGTTGAAAATGCATCATATGGATTTAATACTATTAATACATCACCAGCAAATGTCTGCAAATTTTTAATTCACATGATAATTAATTAAAAAGCAATAATCTAATTACAGTTTTTTTCAGAACGATTCCAAAATGTTATTATTTGGAATTTTCGAACAATTATATATAATATTTTGCGTCAATATTATCATTATGATTAATGATTGAAAATTATGATGATACTATCTTATGATTATATATCATTTTGGATATATCCTGAGATTGGTAAGTTTTAAAAATGTTAGTCACATTTCAAACTGATTATAATAGGCATATCGTATTACCGAATTTTGTTATTCATTTAATCAAATAATATTAAAAGTTGAAATATGCAAAAAAAAAATCTTACATAAAAACGTTTTGCATCGAAACGTTTTCGCAAAGCAAATAATAAAGCTGATTCCGATTCATCACTATAAGATTCAATTAAAGATATTTAAATACAACTAATATATTTTCAATCATGAATAAAAGTTTACATTGAAAATATCTAAATAAGTTTTTATTAGTCGTTCAAAATCTAGAACAAAATGTTGAAACAAAACGCATTAGTATCTTTAATGTGCATAATTTTACATTTAATCCAAATTTAAATCTAATATTTTGTTGTAAAAAAAAAAGGACATACGGTATAGTAGCTAAATTTTCAACATTTGGATCGAATAATTTTCGTTCGGTAAGCCTAACTGTATTCTCCAACGTAACTGTTTGACCCTTTAATTAATTTATTTTCATGAACTTTCCTTTTGTTTTTTAATTAAAATGAAAGTGATATACAAAATAAACAGCAGAGGAATTCATTTGTTCATAATGAAAATAGTTTTTTGTAATAGAATTGATGGAAAGATACAATTATCGAATCTATATTGGTATTTATCAATACTACGGAATTTACTTAAAATAGCAATTACTTATTCATATTAAAACTAACAACAAATATAGTTACTAAATATAATTACTGAAATTATATTTATAATGTGTGAAATAATCAATTACGAATATAATTAAATATTCAATTACAAACATAATTATTGAATTTATGGCTATATAATACATGAAATATTCAATCATAAATATAATTGCTGAATTTATAGGTATATAATATATGAAATATTCAATCTAAAATTAAAGGTGAGAAATAGTGGGAAGATGAAATGACCCTAACATTTTGAATGCATTGTACAGTTAGCGGTTCAGCTTCAACAATCAATGCTGGCTCCCAAAGAGCTTTTCCATTGTTAACAAAAAGCCACACTGGTTGACCCTGAAAGAGATTTTGAAATTAAATTTTAAATAATTTAACTTTTTAAAGGATGTGATTCCTTTTTTTTTTGTCCTACAGTTCTCAGATATAATTGTGAATGTAATTAATTAATTCACATTACTAAAGCATTTTATTAATTAGAAATAATTTAAAAATTATTTCAAAAAATTTTTAGATTGCAATAATTTTAGGAAAATATTACTATTTGACTGATTTTGCTAATTTTAAAATCTTTTTTAATTATTTTATCGATAAGATGAAATTATCATTTGAATAATTCTTCTTATCTCTCTTTTCTTTCTTCCTCTGATTTAATTTTCTTTTCTCTCCTCCATTATAAATTTTTACTTAAATACTTTTTAAATAACCATTCTACAAGTATCCCTTCTTCTAATTCAAACTTCTTTACCTTTC